ATTTAATTATTTAATACATTTTTAATAATATAATATAGTTGTAAACATATAATTAAATATGAAGTATATGTTTATTATAATCAATTGCAAGTTGTATTATAACTATCATCCTGAATAGTAAATTTGTTAATTGAAGATAACGTCATTCACAGCAGGTAAATCAACAAACATATAATACGAATAATATTAACAATTATAACAGTAGTAGTAGTAGAAGTGGCCAGATGTTTTGAAGATGTAAAAACATTTATTAATAATCATATTAATAATAATAACTAGCAGTAGAAGTGACCAGCTGTGGTGAAGATGTGAAAACATTTATTAATAATAACAACAGTAGCAGTAGGAGTGACCGGCTGCATGTGTTGAAGATGTGAAAAAATAATAATAATAATCATAAAGTGTCGAGATAAGTGAAGATAATAATAGGATGGTGTGATTAGTATTGTGGATATTGGGTGTCGGGTCCTGTCCGGTGTCCCGTGTTGGTACTGCGTGTGTGATCAGGAATAGTCCCGGTTCTTGCGTTCGGTAGATTCGGACTCGGGTAACCTTTCACACAGAGAAGGGCCGTTCAGTTGTTTGCAGGAATCGGGAGGGAAATCATTCATATATTCATATAACAGTTATTAGCAGCTTGTCCCGCGGCTGGATACATTGTAACAAAAAGTGGCACACTTCAATTCTTACAAAGAGACTGTACGGGGGAGGTAAAGACCCGGAGCTCCCCGGGATTCCCCCATATAAGCTGCGGCTGCACCGGGTCAGACATCTATACGCGGCTCCGGGATGGATCCGGGGAACTGCAGCTTGTAGTTCCCCGGATCCCCAGGCTCTGAACCTCATGACAGATGAGAAGAGCTCAGTCTGATCGCTCAAATTCTGTTACGGTGCTTGTAAATGTCACCTAACAACACTACTAATAATACTAATACTGTAGAAATATTATTAGTGCTAGTAGTTGTAGTAATAGGAGCCTAGTAACAGCAGTAGTAAGAAGTAGGAGTATTAGTGGTAAACATTAGTGGCAGCTGCAATTATGTTGTTGGCATAATGCATTCAAATTTACCACTCTGTTGCAATAAGTTGTTGATTTCCATTACTGGATATACATTTAGGTTTTATGTAATAGTGCTTTTTGTGCTATTATTGTGCACAGCTGTATATTTACATTGCTGATAATTAGTTCAGCAATGTAAATATATATATATGTAAATAGAAATATTAGCTGGCAATATAGTGTAGTGTATTTTATTATATTTTATATTGTCATTTTATAACGTTGATTTCCTTTATTGAATATAAATTATTATTGCATGTACAATTTTATATTGCATGCTGGCGGTAATGATCTCAGTAGCTTGTTATGAATTTATAGATATTATATGTTAAATTATATTGTGGTGTCATTCTTAACAATGGTAATATTGTTGTTAATATCAATACTACAAAATAATAATAATAATAATAATAACATGGTGTTGAACAGTACAATGAAGCACATCTAACAGGGTTGTAAGCTCTTCCATTATTTACATCAGTCTGGTGTACACAGAAGGATGCATTAAAAAGCTCCCTTTTTAGTAAACATAATATGTGTTTGCACATCCACTTTGGCACTCAGGGAGACTACCTACATAGACTCATACATAGAAAAATGTCCCCAATTTATGAGGGAGGAAATGTTATCCCATGGACCACCTCCAGATCTCTGGGGTAATTCTCTGCATTTATAAAAAAAAATAGTGAAGTGAAGCAAATAGGTATGCGAGGGGGAAACAAGACTAGATTGCAGCATGAACACAGGGTTAAACAAGCCGTCACCTTCCCAGGGTTAAAATAAGTTAAAATACAGAGAGTTCAATAAATAGGTAGGACCCTTCTAGAGGAGGTGATAGACTTCTCGACTCTGTCGTGGTGAACTAGGTCAGTACCCACAAAGTGTTAGGCTGGCAATATACCTTGCAATCTCTATGCAATCGCCTTTTGCCCTGCCAGTACTATGGTGCAGAAGCCCATTTCAAAGCTATCCACCCGATTTGTATCTAGTCTAGTAGGCTTTTGTACTAGAGGAGATTGTTCAGTCAGATTGTAAGGTATATGTCTTTGGTGCACCTTTTGGAGGTATCTCCTCAAGCCCATGTTCTGGGGAGGAAGGGGGGTGTGTGTTAGTGGAAAGGTTAGAAAACCTTGCCCGATTGTTGTTTACACCTAATATACTGGATATGCCCGTTTACACCTCCCCTACCCACTGCATAGGTTGAAAGCGAACAGTCGTCCGATGTGACCATTCGTGTTTAGGGATGTTAGCAAAGAGCCG